TCTTATGAGCCCACTGAGATGTTACCGAGATATTTTGGGTTAGCTTGGTTTATATAGAGACCACTGTTTTGAATGTATTTGTGAGCTGCATATATGTGATTCTCCTTCTTATGTCTCTAATACAGAGATTTCCTTGCAAAATAGTTTTTTTTTATCCAATTACTTTTAGCAGTCAGTGTATGTATTTATATATTTTTTCCAGTTCTTTTGACTTATTAAGATAATTAGGAGCTGTTTGATATTTTCTCTTTTCCTTCTGCCAGGAAGGTAATGTTATTGATGGCTTGTACAGGTTGGTATGACTGTAAGATATTTTCCAAAAGGTTTCTGATACACCTGAAATCAATAGATTAAGTTTTGATACACATCAGGCATTGTGTTTGATATGGGTAGGAAGCTTTCTTTTTTCATTACTTTAAATATAGAAGGCAAGGGATACTAATCGTATTGTCTAGCACTATGCACTTTGTATCGTTAAGAGTTTTGTTATTTGTAACAATAACCATTTTTTCTCTTTTGAATAGTTTATTGAGCTGTATGCATTTCATTGATCACTAAAATGGTCATGTTGTTCAGGGACCGTGGTATTAATCGTTTTCAAAATTCATTGTATGCCAGAATTTTGCCCAAGGGTTTTGTCAGTATGTGTAAGAAATTTGTCCTAGGGTTTTTTAAATACGGACAAGAATTTATCCTAATCTTCATATATACTTTTAAGAAATTTGTTGTCCTAGGGTTTGTCAATACATATGAGAATTTTGCCCTTGGGGTTTGTCAATACTTAAAAGAATTTTGTCTTAGGGTTTGTCATTACACAGGAGAGTTTTGCCCTAGGGTATGTGAGAATTTGACCCAAGATTTGTCTACATATAGGACAGTTTTGCCCTTGGTTTTATCAATAAAATTAAGAATTTTGAAATTTTGAAAAATTATGTGGATTGTTGTGACGAATGATGACGGAAACATGCATGGCATGAAATGGAAGCACACTCATTTTGAAATAATATTTTGAATGGACTCATGTTATTCTTGTATGAGTGTGCGTGTGTGCTTTTACGAGAATTTTTACTTTTGCAATTTATGTTTTTTAATTTGTTTTATATGTCTGTGCTTTTGTATGTGTAAAGAACATTTTATATGTATATTTTTGTTTTATTTTCAGTTTGGTTGACTTTTTTTAGGATTCATGTAATTGGTTCAATGAAAGTTGTTTTTGAAACTTTTCAAAGCATATTGTTATTACTATTAATAACTGCGACATTGTTAACTTCTTGTAACTGTATGTGATAGATGTCTGCAGAAGTCAGCTGAGATGATGATTGTTACAATATATACCAAAGCTATAGCAGCAGTGCAGTTGATGATTGTGCACTTTTCTGTTCAGGTGCTTGTAAGGGCTGTTACCTTGGCATGAATGCTTAACTTTTGTGTCAATCATTTGGTGAATTATGATTGTTTTGCTTGTAATACATGGCGGTATGTTTTGATAAACCTCTGGGAATAACCAAAGTAAAAAATAAAAACAAATTTTGTTTAGTTTTTTGATTGCTATGCTTGCCAATCTTTAATATTTAAACATGTGTCCTGATTTTTTGTTTGTATGTAGCCTTTATTTTGTATTCCAAGTTACTTAGGTAAATGTGCTGATTTTAAGAAGTGCAGCACGAGATAAATTTTGGCATTTAGGCTTGATCATTATTATTCATTATTAGTTGATTATTTTCTGATGTCGTTAACGTATTGGATATAGGTGCCTCGCAGCCCACACATAGCCCAAAATCTGGGTATTAGGCTAATTTGAGTGGCAACTTATGTGGGTGTGTGGCTTGTGGGTCTGGCCAACATGAACACTTGCTTGTGGTAACAAGACTCCTTACCTCCCCTTTGCAATGTTATCGCTTTTTTTGCAGAAGTGTTTTTTGCTTTTTAACCATTTTCCACTGTCTATATTTATCATTTGATATGCTGTATCCAGATGGTAATAGACTGCTTTCATTGCACAAACTCATTGTCTTCTTTCAAGGTAATGTACAATTCTGTGCAATAACAGTGTTAAAGAGCACCATCTTGTTACTTTTTCCATTTTAAAATATTTTCATTTGACATTTTATGTAGCACACCCTGCACCACCACCCTGAGCATGAAAATATTGTCCTGCCTGGTGGAGCTTGGCACAGTTCCAACCATAGCTCACGGATGGTACATTCCACTCTCGTTTACTGGTGGAAAAAATGCAAGAGCTCCTGAGTCAAATCATCCCCCAAGAGCTTTGTGCACCCATGTTGAGTCATTCCCGCCACCCTGGTCTTCAGCTGAATTTTTCCTGATGGGATCTTCCTGTTACACATGCCCTCAGCCAGATTTATTCATGACAGCATATTCCCATCACCCTCTCCTCAGCCAGATTTTTTCATGGTGTGATGGTCATATTAACCGGAGCCAAGGGGTTAAGAGAGGTCTGCACATTAGTTCAGCGTTGAGCTTGGCAGAAGTCATTTATTCATTATTGAACTTCAGTCTTTGTAGTTCATGTTTTTAATGCCGGTAAAATTAGTTATTTTGAGCTATTCAGCTGGTGAGGCTATGTTTAGATAGTTTTTGCGTGTCTTTATATATCATGCATCATGGCTGAAAAAAGTAAAAAGAATTATATTGGGAAATTGAAAAAAAATGACAAAGGGCTGATAAAAAAAAGAAAGTAGAAATAAAAGATTGTGTTTGAAAATTTAAAACAGCAAAAGGGAGAGGGGAGACATACTCTTTATAGCTTTTTTATCACTGGTTTGGTTCATTCATGCAGAAGTTTAGAGGTCGAAACAGGTGACTAGAGTATGTTATTATTTTGATAACTTGTTGGTACACTTTTTAATAATAGGTTGGAACTTCTGGTTCCCTCTTTCATTTACAAACAAAACAGTTTGTTTTCATGCTGTATGCACGTTGTTTCCTTGTGTTTCATTTGGTTATTACCATTTGTATCTGAAAAGTTTTAGATGCTATCCTTCGTATATTTGTATTTTTTTGGTTGTAAAGTGTACGATATGAAGAGTGTTTGTACACATGATTTGTGCATGCTGTGTTTTTTCCTGTTTTGCCTTGTGTAGCTGGATCAGTTTTCTTTTATATGTCCACCAGTGTTTTTGATTTGCTAATGTGCTGTGCGACTCCTTTTCTGTGGCTATGTGATAGTTCCTAGAAAGTTGGAATTATTTTATATATATAATTTTATCATTTTTTTTTACAACAGTTGACAGGCCAGCTGCCGGGTTATTATAGATTCTCTAAAGTTGATCTACCCCAAAATATCTTTACCTGTTTTGACCTAGGGTAGGCTGGACAGTGTTAATCTAGATTTGTCTAGCCTAGTCTTATCTTGTTTCCATAAATTTAACAAAATATAATTATTTTCTTTGCTGTGCCTAAACAAGTCTTGGTGAGCATAACTTAGCATAGCCTTATCGAACATAGATCAACCATATCAAGCCTAGCAAGTCTAACATATCTTAAAGCCCTATCTGTGGGGCTTACGGTCATAGGCATTGGACACTGGGCACTAGACATGCCATTCCAGTCTTTGGGTCTCTAGTTTCTCTCCATTTTATCTGTCATGTTTTCTCTATGATAGGGAAGGCCTAGCTTTACCTCTGGCTAATGGTGCTTGTGACTAATAACTAAAATTATAGTCATCTGTAGTAACTTCAGTGATTTAATTTAACCCTATTTAGTCAAGCTCACCCTACCTCAGCCTAGCTTAGCATAGTACTGTAGTCTAGGCTTGTTTAGTCTTTCTTAATCTAGCTAAACTAAGCTAAACTAATCCTTACCTGACCTTAACCTATTCTAACATAGTATAGCACAAAGGCTTTCTCACACAGGGCAAAAAATGTGGGGCATTAAATTGTAAGTATTCTGCACATGCTATCCTGATAAGCCAGAATATATTTTTGTGGGCATTTTATTTGTCTTTTTTTATATAAAGGTATTGGAATGACAATGTGATTTTATCATTGGATAGTATTAGTTATCCCGTCAAACTTTGCCTTCCAGGGATTAGTCTAGCCAATAACTACTCATAGGGAAGGGTCCGCTTAACATTCTACTTTTAATGAATTCAGGACAGGAAGGGTAAAATCCCCTACTTAGCTGTTCTGGTTTTCAAGGAAAGTGGAAAAGTATTATAATACAGTAGACTGAATATTGACCAAGTTGTACATGTGCAAGTTATACCCATATTATTTTCAAAAACATATCTCTACCTATCTACTTCTCCATTTCTCTACTAACCATCCTACCTCTCTACCTGCCCACCTCTCTACCTGCCCACCTCTCTACCTGCCCACCTCTCTACCTGCCCACCTCTCCATGTACCCATCACTCTACCTACCTACTTACCTACCTCCCTCTATCTTCCTTCCTTCTTCCTTCCTTCCTTCCTTCCTCCTTCCTTCCTTCCCTCCCTCCCTCCTCCCTCCCCTCCTCCCTCCCTCCCTCCCTCCTCCTCCCTTCCTTCCTCCTTCCTTCCTTCCTTCCTTCCTTCCTTCCTTCCTTCTTCCTTCCTTCCTTCCTTCCTCCCTTCCTTCCTTCCTTCCTCCCTTCCCTTTCCTCCCTCCTCCTTCCCTTCATTTCTCTTTCACACACACACACACACACACACACACACACACACACACACACACACACACACACACACACACACACACACACACACACACACACACACACACACACACACAC